TTGTGTAGATACGCGCCCACACGTGCAGGTGCGAGCCCTAGCTAACATGAGCGCCTCCACGTGCAGATGCGCATTTGGTGAGCGCTAATATAAGCATCTACTCGTGCAGGCGCTCGTTTTAGCTAAGAAACGCGCCTACACGTGTGGCCGCATACATTGGCTTGAGGTGATATACGCACTTGGTGTGTGATCGATACATTTTTTAACACCTTAGGTCTCAGGAGAGCTGGAGAGGGCCGCAGAGGTTGTATTCGAGTGGAAGGCTGAGGTGGGAGGTCAGGCAGGGGTCTGGGCGGCCTACACGTGTGCAGTCCTTTTTGGGTTGACAGTTGCTCAGTGCATGACTTGCCCGGGAGGGGGGGGGGGGGGTCGAGGAGACAATACAGTTATACGCGCGGCCACACGTGTAGGCGCGTATCTTAGCTAAAACGAGCGCCAGCACGAGTAGACGCTTATATTCGAGCTCGCCAAATGCGCATCTGCACGTGGAGGCGCTCATGTTAGCTAGGGCTCGCACCTGCACGTGTGGGCGCGTATCTGACACAAGCAGCTACGCGTGTAGGCGCGAGCCTTGGCTAAGATGCGCGCCTACACGTGCTGGCGCTTATTTTTGCCGCACTTTCCGGGGTTTGCCGTGGCTCGGGTTCCGCATCCTCGCTACCCAACGCGGTCTAGGATATCCACCTCGAGAACCTCGAGAGTGTGCATTGGCTGTCCAATTCGCGATCGATGAGCGTGTGCGGCTGGGCTGTCCTGGCGGTGGCCGTGGCCCTCGGGTACCTCGTGCAGGCCAACCTCGGGACGCTCGCGTACGGCAAGGAGCTCGGCTTCGCGGCGGCGGAGGCCTGCGCTTTGCACCAGCTCCCGACGCCTTGCGAGGACCTCACGGCCTTCCGGCCCGGGGCGCTGTTTGCCGGCGGCGGGGATCTCTGGAGCACCTTTGCCCTCGGATCGGAGCAGGCCGTGGCCGGCGCCATCTACCTCGTGGAGGGCACCAAGGTCACGCCGCTGCCGATCCTCGGCGAGCCGCCGAAGCTCGTGCTCCACGGGATCTACTTCTCGGCCAGGAGCCGCCGACTCTACGGCGTGAACCACGACGAGGCTACGGGCGAGTCGATCGAGGTCTTTGACGTGCTCGAAGAAGACGGCGTCTCGCTCAAGCACGCGGGGTCGATCCGGTCGCCGCTCTTCGCCAACTTCGCGCTCAATGACGTCGTCGAGGGCGCGGGAAAGGACGAGGTCTACGTCACCGAGTGGCAGGCGGCGGCCTTCCCTGCTGGCGGCAAGCGCGGCCTCAGCAGCGCTCCGCTCGAGCTCAGGCTC